TGTGCTTCTGAGCCTAAGATGACCTGCTCTGTACCCACAGCCTCTCCTACAACGCCCCGGGCAAGGACAGTGGGCTCCTGGTCTTCAAGGACAAAGTTGGGAGTTACTCCCTGTACATCGGAAGAACCAAAGCCACCTTCAAAGTGACCGAGACGGCCCCCAGCCCCGTGCACATCTGTACCAGCTGGGAGCCCTCCACTGGCATCACCGAGTTTTGGGTCAATGGGAAGCCGCTGGTGAAAAAGGGTCTGAAGCAGGGTTACACGGTAGGAGGTCACCCCAAGATGGTCCTGGATGCCTACGGACGGGGGTTTCAGAAGGCCCAGTCCTTGGTGGGGGAGATCGGGGACTCGTACACATGGGACTCTGTGCTGTCCCCAGAGCAGATCCTACTGGTGCAACAGAGCTCCCACCTGAATCCCAACGTCCTGGGCTGGTGTGTGCTGGCCGATGAGCTGAAAGGGCACGTCGTCATCAAGCCCCTGGTGTGGAGCTGAGCCCGACTCAACAAGAGCACTCGAACACGACCCAGGCGCGAGGAACCCGCTCAAGGCCGCCGCCCACGAGATCCCACTACCTGTGGCTCTTGCCTTTTTCAATTTCCCCGTCTGCACGCTGCCGAGTAAAACATGTTGCATTGTGCCGCCTGCTTCCGGGGGGTACTTGTTGCAATCTCCAGCCCTCTCTGATCCGCTTGTTTGGAAGTCAGTGCGTTCTTCTGGAGCACAAGCAGGGTGCAGAGTGGGGGGAGGGGCAGCTGTGACTAAAAGGATGGGTCACCACACCCGCCCGAGGCTCAGGGAACGGCACAGGGGCGATCCTCACCAGCTCCGCGTCGTTCTGTTAGCTCCAGATGTGTGCAAAATTCCGCCAGGAACCCAGTTTGGTTTTGCAGCAAATGCAAGAGAGATCAGAGATGCAAACGAGGTCGGAGGTCACATCAGAGAAACAACTCGAGTAAGTAAAAGCAATGCGGAACCTGACCTCAAGTAATGAGAAAAACTGGCAGGCAGGCACGAAAACTCAAAACGTAGGAAAGTCTGGCATTCCTTGCGCAAGAAGATAAACGCAGCTTTTTTTCTAAAAACAAAACAAAAAAAAAAAAAAAAACCAAAAAACCAAAAACAACAAAGCCCATACACTACCAGCGTATCATGCTGGATTTTTCCTCCGGTCCTCAAGTCACCAAGGATACTGCTTGGGACCTCCCAGTTCAAAGTCCTACGGATCTCCATCTTAAACCCTTTGACGTGACATTGCCCTCCATCACTTGATCCCCTCAGGCACCACTCTCAGCACCTAGCGTTCTAACTACAATACTCCAGAATATTTGTCGGATTTTATTAGGAGTTACCGTCATTACAGAAGCCACCAGGCACACACCCCCAGCAGAAACGAAGGGCCTTCTTAGAGAAGGACCCAAAGAGAACGAGGCTGTGTGTGAAAAATAAGGCAGGCTTTGCCCACGGATAACGGGGCGTCAGGCCGAGGGAAATCAGAAAAGACCACATCCAGGAGAGCTTCCGAATGACAGCAGTGATGACTTCAAACTCACTCACCCAGGATCCACAACGAGGCAGGCGCCAGATCCGAGGAAGGAAGACGGAACCTGTGAGCCCCATTCACGGGGCAAGAGGGTCGGGCAGACAGGAGCGGGTAGAAGCCACGGTTTGCTGGGGTGCTTGCGTGGAGTCACGGGGACTTCACAAGCACATTTCAACCTGCTCTCTGGTGAGAAGGAATTGCAACGTGGAAACATTAGTTTCCATTGGCCAGCCCTTAACTCAAGGCTTGCTGTAGAGTTGAAGGTCGACCACCCTTCCTGTCCTGTGAGCTCTACCTGTACTCTGTGTCCTAGCAAGACGGGTCTCTTCCTGTAGAGTACGTATCTCCACCAGGAGCACAGACACACGTTTGCCTAGATGTTGTGTTGTCCGCCATTGCTAGTTCTTTGAGAGACAGACAGACAGACACGGAGGGCAGAGACGATCCCAAGCTAACTCCACACTATCAGCACGGAGCCCGATGTGGGGCTTGAACCCACAAACCGTGAGATCATGACCTGAGCTGAAACCAAAAGTCAGACGCTTAACTGACTCAGCGCCCCCCCCCCCAGGTGCCCCCTGCCGGCTCTTAATAGTAGACACTTCTAGCTTAACAGCCCCCTCTGTCAAGGAACCTAAAACAAGTTTCAAGAAACGAAGCCAGCGTACTTTCCAGTAGCATCATCCGTTTCTTTCTTGAGCACCTACTCTGTCCCAGACACTATGCCAGGTGAAAACACAGCACGGAGTGAAACCATCATGGGACTGGCTTTGGAGTTTATATTCTAACAAGTCTGGGTCAATACTTTCTATGCTGTAATCCATACCTCACCGTCGTCAGGCTTTCCTCGATCTCAGGTTGATATCCTAACTCCCCCTCTCAACTCTGAGTTACATGGATTATTTTACTGTCAGGGATCGTTTGCCACTTCTCCCATGGCCAGATCTAATGCCTGTCCGGTTTCTTGCCTTTGGAGACCTTCTACCTCCTGAGATGGCTCTTATGGACAGAACACAACACAACTCCAAGCCAGCCAGCTCTTCCTTCTAGATGACCCCCACCTCCTCCCAAAGCAACTGGATCCCTTGTCCCCGTCAACTCTAGGAGGCTAGGATGAAGGGAACACAGACAACACTTCTCTGCTTCTACGATGGCCATAGCTTGCTCAAGTCTTTGAAGTCTCCCAATAGCTTGGAGCACTTTTTAAGCTTTGAGGGACGCTGTGGAAGCAACCCCCCGCCACCACTACCAGACTTGAGGTGAAGACTAGAAATCCCAGCAACCATCCTGTCGAGGTACCAGGAACATGACCTGCTCTTTTCTCGAAGGAACAGCAGTGAAGCCACGGCTCTCCCCAGCACAGCTCCCGGCCCACGTCCATCTCTCTGCACACCTTGTTCTTGCCCAGTGATACAAGAGCCACTGAACTTGTCCTGAATCATTTCCTTGGCACATTCATGTAAGTGGATCCGCGTCACGTTCTTGTAATTCTCTAGCATCACACCGACGGTCCCTTCCAAACTGAAGAAGGAAGAGTTCCATTTTAACACCATTTAAAGTAGAGATGGGAGGGGCGCCTGGGTGGCTCAGTAGGTTAAGCGTCCGACTTCGGCTCAGGTCATGATCTCGCCATCTGTGAGTTCGAGCCCCGTGTCGGGCTCTGCGCTGACAGCTCAGAGCCTGGAACCTGCTTCAGATTTTGTGTCTACCTCTCTCTCTCTCTCTGCCCCTCCCATACTCATGCTTTGTTTCTGTCTCTCAACAATAAGTAAACATTAATTTTTTTTTTTAATACAATAAAATAGAGATGGGATCTCTGGCTGCTTGCTTGAGGCATTCTCTTCTCAGGTATAATGGTGGTCACAACAAGGAAAATAACAGGAAACCACCTCAGTCCTTGAGAACTCACAAGGAAAATGGAAGGACCCGGAAGGTAGAATAGCCCAGGAGCAGGACTGGAGAGGGTGCAAAGGTGTGCAGAGAGAGGCCTAAGCCTGCAGACGTTTCTAGGAAGAAAAGCAGTGTTTGAACCTCTGTCTTGTACAAGGGTCTGGTTCTCATTTGTGAAGCTACAGGAAAACAGGTCAGAGCGCTTAGCCTCACGGCTCCGGAGAAGTCTACAAAGGACTTTTCTTGGGTGAAAATGCCTTCCTCTTACCTTCCCTCTAGGGCCCCGGCGTGCAGTCACATCCGGAGAACAATGCTGAGACGTTCTAGGTGCGCCTCGTGTTTCCTGTGCTTGACGGTAAACGGGGGTCCAAGAACGCTCAGGAACAGAAGGAAAGTGAAGCCCCACCTGAGTCACCTTTACTCCTCATCTTGACGGGGCCGAGGAGCTAACTTCTCAACTCCACTCCACCTGTGTTCCAGAACCTGCCGTCTAGGTTTTGTCTGGCTGTGGCCACTCTTTTGAGAGTCCAACACAGGAGACGCCTGGAGGTCCCACCACGCAGGTGGAGCGGTGGCAAAGTCACGTGTGGCACACGGCACACGGCCACCGCAGCCGGAAGCGACGGCACCAACGTCGCGGAGAAATTGCGCTGGGACCCACGGTCCCCGGGGGGCGAATCCAGCTGCGTCTGGGGAAGGCAAAGGCAGACAGGTGGCATGTCAGCCACTTCTCGTGGCTGCCTCGTGGGGGTCTGCGTGAGGACGCATACGGAGGACCCGCTCAGCACATGTCCTTGCATAGTACAGGTGCTCACTGTCATCAGGGGTGCTACAGAGGAGGAGAAGGACTCCAGAACCTTAAATCACCTGCCGTGACTCTCTGGCGTGTTCCTACAAATAAAAAGGACTCGCCACGCTCCCCTTCCGTCCCTGCCCCCAAACCTCATCCTTACCTACCCGAGTTGCCACCCGCCCTGAGTTTTTGCAAATAAGTCATGGCTGCCTGGTGTGCAAAGAACACGGGCAGATCCCAGACACAAGAAGGTAGGCGGTCTCCCGGGTAGGAGGACACTCCTGTCCCAAAGAAAAGTCTCCTCTATTCAAACAGTTCACGGAATCAGATTCTTAATTCCTCCCTGGCTGGCTCCCTGGGTCTATCTTATTTGCAATGAAAAGTAAAGGACAGGGCACAAAGTCTCGCAAAAAGGCACGGTCATTTTTTTTTTTAAACTCGCAATTCTCTTCATGCACACGTTTGTGTAATTACACACAAAATGTCACGGGGCTCAGCCCACCTTGCATGCTTCAGATTTTTTAAACCTAGACTCTGTTTCTAGGCACATTATTCTGCTTAGGAAGATTTAGGCATTGACAAGCACCTATGGGTTTTGTCCTAATTGCGTCCCCTTGCAAATGGTGTCTCTTTTACACCCTCGTTGTTTTCCTCCCTCTATTTTTCTTCCTCCTCTACGAGAAATCCTGGCTTCACGACTACAATTTTGATGCCTGAGCACATTTCTGTATTCTTATTCTCCCGGAGGGTTTTTTATCCTTCTGGAATGTATAAATCATTTTGAAAGCTTTCTGCGCGGTACCACGCTTCCGAGATCATCTACCGGTGTGTCCCCTACACAGAAACACCCTCAGGGCTCAGCCACAGGAGGGCTCAGATTTGGGTGGGAGAAGGGCTGCTTCCACGGCTGCCTCACTTCTGGCTGCGCAGGCCAGTGGGGGGAGGGAGGGAGGGGAGGAGGGGCCATCTGGTGCCAAAATCGTCCTGACGGTCACCGACACACGTTCTAACTGCCCAGAGCTCATCCCAGGCAACGGGCACCGGCTGAACCCACCCACTCCCTCCACACTGTTGGCTCCGTGATGCTCCCCGTGACCTCTTCTCCCTTCCCGAGGAGGGCAACTGGCGTCTCTTGCCCCGCGAGGTCTTCTCTGTAAGAACAGAAGACCAAGGAGGATGAACACGGGCATTCGGTCCCATGTCCCGAACTTCCCATCTCGCCCTCCGGGGCCACCCTCCCCTCCAGGGACAGCCACAGCCCTGCGTGGT